ATAAAACCGAGAAGTGGAAGAGAATTTTATATAACGAATAATTAAATTAATGCACAAGTCATTCGTAATAATAAAAAAGTAGATAAGATGATAGAGATGAGAACAGAACATTCGAGATACAATTTAAGAAAACAACTACAAATAGATTACATAAAAGAGAATTAGATAAAGTTTCAAAAAACTTTAAATCATTGACTTTTCAGAGTTTTTCCCCATTGTTTTAGATGAACTCTAACTCATTTTACTTTTAATTTTAATATTAGTTGTCTTTACGGTTAAGCCCAAAGAAATTTATTCTTAACATATAAATCTTCTACATGTTTGTTTTCCTTTCTTTCTTACTGTATTTTTTTTTAATTTATAACTTGTACAAGCAAGAATTTTCTAGGTTACGAAAGAACGAAAGGAAAAAAGATAGTATAAAAAGGAAACGCTAATCACTGTTCACAATTTTTTTTATCATCTACTGTATACATCTCAAAGATCTCTATGTATTAATAAAAAAGACAATTTTGTTCAGTTTATATATTCTAATTAAATTAAATTAATTGTTTGCATCTACTGATGAAGATTGAACTAGTCAATCGAAACGTTTCGAAACAAATAAATAGAGTTTATTGTGAAGGAAAAGTATTCAACTATAATTATCTAATTTATTTATTTGATTCGACCTTTCGATGATTATCCTATAATCATTATCAAGAATTGACTTTACATAGTGGAAAAAGAGCTATATATACATTGTTTATGTGAGAAAAATGAAAGACGATAATAAATTTGCTGAAATGTAGCAATGAATTTGTCTGTAATTTATCCTTACAGCCGTATAGTCTCTTCGAGTGTCTTTTTTTTTGAATAACAGAGACGAGCGATAGTCATACTCGTACGCTTAGTTTTTTTTTTTGACGAGCACTCGCAAAAGTACTGGAATACTTGGAAAAAAAATTGAATAGTCAGACTTACGGATGAGAAAAACAGAGGAGAAATTATGCACAACACACGTAGCTCGAGTATGTTACTAGATGATTAACGCCTTTAGCTAATAATGGAAAAGTGTATTTAGCCTATTTCCTTTCCTTCTTAGATTGAAACAACAAATAAGAAAGAATAACGTTTATTCATTTGTATTTTCTTTCAGGAACATCCAGAGGCCGTCGTCGGAGGTGTGAGTACACAAATTCTAGAAGAATTTCTAATTTTTTTAAAAGTCGGAGTAAAGTGCATGCTATTTTACTCTAAAGTTTGAAGAAAAAACTCGTAAAATTGAAGTAGACATTTCAAAAAGCATGGAAGTACCATTCCCCAGTCTGGATCCCCTGTTTTCTCGCGAAACAAATACAGTCCTTATTCTTCCTAATATAAGAAACCATGTTTGAAAGTTACCAATTATCAGCTTGTAGAATTGTAGAATATTATCAGATTTGTAGATGTTTCCACCTCATCTTTTCCCGTCACATTGCACAGCGAGATATTCTACACTGTTTTCTAGAGAATTGAACGGAGAATCTTTTAAAAAAATTAAATCTGAACAATAAAAACGGAAAGATTAATAAAAACGGACTAAAGAGAATATGAATTCTTGGGCATGTATTAGATATTATAACAGCAACTAATTTGAATTTCATTACAATTTATATTATTTGTTTCGAGTCAACAGAACTTAGCATTTTTCAAGAAAAATTAAAATTGTATTGAAAAATGTTTTATGAAATAGAGAATTTCACTAATCCATTTCTCAATAAAGTTAACGATAAGTAAACTTCTATAGCATATCTCATACTGATATTGAAAAACTGAAAATTTTCTGTTTGAGTTATGTAAGAACTTGAATCGATCGGACTCGAAAGACAAAAAGTCCGAGTCTTTCGAAAAAACCTCCAGTGCCAACCCACCGAAAATTTTTTCAGTCTGGATTCGACTCATCCAGCCCTGGTTGCTCATATATCTCATGTTTTTAAATCCAAAAATGACTTTGTACAATCCAATTTGCTGAAAAATCCACTTTGTACCAAGAATTTGCACAATTTGCAGATTAAATTCGATAAATACTTGTAACAAATATCGATAAATTCATGTTTTATCGAGTAATTTTGAGTTTGCCTGATTGAATCTCAAATTTGCTTCGGCAAACTTAGAAACAACATGTGCAGACGTTTTGATTCTAATGTTGTCCAGGCTTAGAATTATGATTTTGCCAGAGTAAACTCTAAATCTGTCTGAATTATAGTTTGGCCGGCAGTATATATTTTTTTAATTAGCAGTACAAAGAATTCTTTTCTACGCTGAATCGTAGAACGATAATATTTTTGTGCGTGTAAGAGAAAAGAAAACTAAGTTGCACACTGGCAGTAGATCTTTAAATTACGCTTTAGTTTTTTCAAGAATTCAGGTTTTTTCTGAAACTCTTTTGTTTCCATCATATTTAGCTTTTAAATACGATAAAAATAAAAAAAGACAAAAGATAAAAATCTACTTCCTACATTCAAAGAGGTTGAGTATATTTACTTTGATTTAAAATCATTTTGACATTTCTAATTCGTGATCTGCAAAATTATTTTTTTATACCTGCAGGGTGTGCTTTGCCTCTTGTCTTCTTGAGTTTCTAGAACGGTCATACATATGAAACCGAAAATTATTGTGCGAGCATCATTTTTATCTCATGCATACTTTTTACTGAAATTTTTTGTCAACATCGGATGTAAAATAAAGAAGTTCTTCTCTTTATCTAGGTCTCCCTTTTTAATCAGGGCATTAAATATGAAGATCAAATTCATATAGTTTGACAGAAGAAGAATAAAGTCACACAATAGTGTCAGTTTTAATTAATTAACATTCATTGTTTCATGTAATTGAATAAATTGACTATTTTTCCCGATCAGTATAAGTGCACTGACTTATTCTTTTCTATGTAAGAGAAAAAAAATGGATAAAAATTACTCTCTTCCTTTTTGCGCGTAGCTAGAAATCTAACGTAGATTTTTATGAAAATTTATATACTACTGTATGCACGATTCTGCCATTCTCACAAATATCGAATATTTTCCGTTGAAAATGGATGAGAAATTGAGAAAGTACACACAAGTTTTCGATGACTAACTTATTTCCTTAATAGTATTTTATTTTCAATGATCAATGATGAAAAATGAACGAGTGTCTGGGTTATGCGATACAACACAGCGTTTAAAGAAAAAAAAAGAACAATTTTTTATGATGCAAAGAAATTAACTCTTTTTATGCTTCTTGTCTAAATGTGATAGCACATTCGTTTAGCAAGAATTTTAATTAAAATTAAACTTAATCGATCATCTAAATTAGATTGAATATTTAAATTCAAAAGAATATTTATACACTTCTTTTACTGTCTGAGGAGTCAAACAATTTTGAATTCATCGTCATTATTTTCATATATTCTTTTATTTTAAATTATTTACACATACGATGCGCAATACGCTGAATTCGTTTTGCGAGTGTAGATATTCTTGAACTTATATCCACGTGAAATTTTAGATTTAACTAAAATTGCACTCCAGATGTATACCATGAAACTCCATAGATAATCATCATCATATAGAAAAAACAAAAAATTTTAGATTTAAGTACGATACAAACAGACGGTATCAGAATTAGCGAAGGATGTTGAATATACCTGACTCGTTCAAATTATATAAAAACTAAAAAAAACAAAAAAAAACAGAAAACATCGTTGATAAAAACAACAATTAAACAAATAAATAGTTAATTTTTCAAAAATATAACATAAAATCAAAAATATTATTTACACTGTTTGAGCACCGGTTTTATCGAGAAATGAAAGACTGTGAGTCTGGTTTTTTATCAAGATCTTTTACATTCAATACACATAAACACGGGGACTCCTAAACAGCCCACAATTAAAATAATCGGTATACTAATACCAACTAAAACAATAACAGCACCTAAAGCAATTGGTGTGGCTAACACAATCCCTGAAAATATTGAGCCGCGTATAAAATAACGTAAAAAACGATTACGTGGAAAGAGTTTATACTTGCAACCAAATAATGAGTATTTAGCGTCATGACCAATATAAGTTGGTAATCTCATTCGTTTCCCACATTCATAGCAAAATTTTGCATTACATTTTCCACACTGCATATGATTACAACCATCAACTTTTTCAATATAAATTGCACATTTTGGACATTTTTGTGCATTACGTTGATTATCCGTTAAACGTTTTCCTTTCGCCCATGTGTCAACACGTGTACGATCTTTTTTAAATTCTTTACACGATTGTCCATCGTGCATAGGTGCATAGCATCTCCAACACCATCGTTGTTTGCATTGTTCACATTCAACTATTTTTGGCCGATGATTTTTTCGTAATGAAAATACGTTTGCTGTATTTTTGAAGTGTACTTTACCATCAATAATTGTTATCCAATTGCAATTTGGACATAACTTGTACATATTCGGATTTTGTTCTGATAATGCTTGAGCCAAGTGTTGTTGATAACGCTCTCGAACTTGACCTGGTAATTCATCATAATACAATATTTCATTACTATTCATCTCCTGAGTACACGATGGACATTCTATTTTTGCTTTTCCTTGTTCAACCACCGTTGATATGTGTGTTAGTAGACACATTGAACATAACTTAGTTTTACAACATGACATTTCTTTTCGACCTACTGCGGTAATAGAATCACAACAAATTGGACAAATATCGCCTTCATGCTCATTAGTCATTTTTGAATATTCACTATGAAATTTGATGAAAGAAATCTTATTGTTTTAATATCTATAAAAAGAAATAATATAACATTCGGATTTCCATTAGTGCTCAAACATATATACGGAGGAAAGTTTTCAACTCAGCATGAGATACTTCATATTTGAATGTGTCATGTGTTTTTCGTTTTTCATTCTTTGTTCTCGAGGTACACAAAAAATAGTAAAAAGCCCTATGTAAAGCGTAACGTTTCAATTTTGAAAGCACCCTAACTCATAAAGAAAGAAATGAGAAACGAAAAAGATATCATCTCAGGTATCTTCGATAACATTTTTGGGCTGAATCGGATGAGGTTTTCGGGGATGGTAATGTTGAGCGTTATGGGTAACATTAGATTTCCATGACACTTGCCACGATACTGATATCTTCGCGAAAATCCAATGGAACAAATTTTTAGAGAGATCTCATCTTGAAGAGGACACATTGTTCTATCAGACTATGTATAAGAAAAAAACCTGAGAGGACTGGAAAGAAGAGAAAAACTTACAAAACTAAGAGAATTCAGTCTTTTTAGCGATTTGAGCAAACAATTGAAACATTTATAAGTTTTGTAAGAAAAGGTCGTGGAACACTGACAGTGATCTTATTTCGTATTGTACGTGATTGTTGTTGGCGTCGTTATTGTTGAAGAAGTATTTTCCTTCTTCTTTAACCAAAAAATAGCGGTGATCAACATTTGTTTGTACGGGAATGTTTGTCAACAACGGTTTAGTCTCAATTCGTCCCTAATTACTTACTCTCACTTTTCATGTCGGCTAAAATGTTGCTTAATCTTAGGAAGACAATTAGAGATGAATCGAGAGGACACCGTCAACAACAGCTCTATACAAACAATACTCGACGAGTGGTCTACGTAAAAGATAAATGGTTACAGCAAGCTCTTCTAGACACATTGCAAAAAGAGTGAAACTGTTTGTACAGCTACGTGTTTACAATATTTATTACTGTTTATGACTCAAAAAATGACTTTGTTTTTTTCCCCATATTTACATTTGGAATAATAATAATAAATTATTGCATGCGAACATGGTGCACGTTTTTATACTTAGTAAGTAAAAAAATAAGAAAAGAGGTAGAAAACCTGACTATAGAATTAAGGTGAGTAAAGTGAAGGAATAAAAAAAAGAGAAAAACAAATTACGGTACGTCGATAAACAATATTTTTAAACACGTGGCATTGACATTTTCACTACAAATACACATATTTACTGTTATGATTCATCTGAGCTTCACCAAAAAAAAACACATATACTTTTTAGTATAAAGGAAGTAAAGATCCTACAGCATTTTAACACAAGTTCAGTTAACGATTCTACAAAAAGTGAAACTACAATAGCTCTTTATACAGAAAAAGAAACTTTTATATCTTGGACAAACGTCAACGTTCTTTAGAAAGTTTCTAACATCATAACATTAAAAACATCAGTTTGTTCTATTCTCTTACATACTATATAAAAAAATTTGATAGTTTTTCTAACAGTGAGTGATCGCTAACGTATCGGCTTGATTGTTTCAGTTTTTGAATGCAAAATCTTTTCTGTTTAGTAACTGAATGGCAACTACAGTTTTAAACAATGATAGATTTATAATAAATTCAATTCAGTAATTAACAATAACCTATCTTTAGGGATTTTGTAATGAGATTTTCCTATGAGTTCTTTAGGAGAACTGTCGTAAATTTTTGTGAGATTATCGACTAAGAACTTCGTCTTGAGGTGTTGGCAAAAACAAACTCTTCCTCAGTCTATGTCTGAAGTTTCGGGTCTAAAAGTCACACCACGATCGGCGAAAATATTTCATAGCGTTGGATAAAGTTAGAAGGTCATACGAATTGTAAAGACATTTTGACCCACAAAAGTTGGAGATATTATACGACTTTTAGCGAGTATGAAGGGTATACAGCTCGACGACTCATTAACTGTTGCTGACTGCATCTTTCCAAGGAAGAATCCTTAAGAAAATGTTACATTTAGGCAGGTTTCTATTATTCTCGAGTATACAGTATACTTTCTGATATCAACACAAAAAACATTTATATTTACCGAAATGATTTAGCTTTAGGGAATCTAAGCTTCTAACTGTAAAGATGTTCTTCTTAACTTTCATACATTCATCTTATAAAACGTCTCATTACTATGAAAAAAATCAAATATTTGAAAAGCGGGAGACGTCACCACTTCCAATAGTTACGCTCCTGTGCCTAAATACATTACTGTAAAAACATAGATTATTTTCGATAAAATTTTGAAAGTTTATACGTAGCTACAAAATGAAATGATTCTTAACTCTTATTGATTTTTCTTTTTAAAAGGTATGACGTCATATTCATAAAAAGTGTGATTCATGACAAATAAGTTGATTTTATTAGTAAGACTGATTAATCAGCGGGTGAGGGGGGCGGGCGGGCCACTTTTCCTTGATTTTGGACAATACTTTTTCAACTTAATTTTGATTGAATTTTATAGAGAAAGCGATTTTACACATCATTCAGTTTATCTGAGTCTTCATAATCATACAGAGAATTTTTAAATTAACTTGTCTGAATTTACGTACCATATTATTAAGCGGTACTGAAACAAGTATTGTGCAATGCACTTTTTAAAGCTGATTCGAAATATGATGTTGGTTTTGAGAAAAAATTGAAATTTGATGGTGAAAACTGCAAAATATGAGTTTCCCTGATTTTTCTTGTATTTGAGTTATAATGTATTGAGCCAATAATATGTGGAGTTTGTTTACTCAAAATATTGTATAGCTTTTCAAGAGCTACTTTTTTATCTAAAGACTAGTTGGATCCTCTGTTTATGAGAGAAAACGGAAAAATATAATCACTCAAGCATGTCCACTAGATAGAGTATGCTTGAAAATAAACCATTTCTCCTTAATAATGGTATATGAATACTATGGTTCATATACCATTTTGTTCAGTTTTTCATTAACTATTTTTCTATATCAAGTTTTACCGTAACTTCATATTAGATTTCGAACAGAATCCTTTTTGTAAAGCACCGGTATCTTTTATGCATCACTTCAGACAAGTTAATTTAAAAATTCTCTGTATGATTATGAAGACTCAGATAAACTGAAAAATGTGTAACATCGCTTTCTCTATAAAATCCGATCAAAATCAAGTTGAAAATCAAGGAAAAGTGCCCCTCCTTTTATCCATCCCAAAACGTAGGACAGAAATCTCTTTTCTGAATCACGTTTTAAAAGAAGATACAGACATGTGGTTCGATGGTCAATATCGAAAAACATGGTTCTATGAGAGAATTTCAAAATCCACCGTGAAGCTTGATTTTTGAAGGGCTTTTAGAAAACCAGGCTAGCATTGCGAAAATTGCCATAAAATATTTTGGCTTCTTTTCATGAATAGCCCAAAATATCATTTTCTGGAACTTCGCCTAATAGTTCTCTTTCGAAGGAAACTTTTTTATGCTATCTTGAGTTTTTTTGCGATTGTTATCAAAAAAATGAAAGTTAACGAAAAATCTTGAAATATATATCATTAGACTGGGCGCTGATTCCGAATATGGTATTTTTATTGTATAAAAGGGAAGTTTTGATGGAGAAAATTCTCAAGTTTTTAATGTTGAATGTGAAAAAGCACTTCTAAGCAGCTAGAAGAACGAAAAAGAAAAACGTTTTTCTGAAACTGAGGGATTTTCGAAACTTTAGATCCTCCGAATGTTTTCAGTTTTTCGACATGAAAACAAATTTTTCAAACATTAAAACACATGTTTTCTTCTCCAGATCGACGAGCTCTATCCAACCACGTATAAAAAATGCAAACATAAAGCCTGCTGAATTTTTGAATTTCCGGCACCTTATATCATTTGAGAATTCAACGAATAAAGAAAAATGAAAAAACAAATTTGGTTTGAAAAAATGTGACTTGAACTTCAAACTAAAATTATCGCTGTTACTCGATCATCTGTTCCATCAGTCGAGGAGTAGAAAGCATCGCAAAAGCTCGGCTACTTGTGTCGTAAAGATAGAACTACAGAACAAAAAAAAGATTTTTAAAATTAATTCAAATTTTGGTGTCGTATATTTTATGTTAGTGCGCAATTCCTTATTTATAACATAGAAAATTACCCATGAATTAGCAATTCTGAATATACAGTTCAGAGGAATTCCACATTTAGCCCCGATCGAGGGCGCCCTGACAAGACTTTCAAAATGACAACTACGACCTCTAAATTTACTGATTTAAGAGGGGCATCGGATTTCATAGGAGTCTCACGATACATATTTCTTTGGTTGTGGTAATCTCGAAAACATGACTTATTGATTACTCTGATTCTTATGACAGTGTCTGTTTTCAGAACAAAAGTCAATAGCTTAGTAAAAACCTATATTAGATGACAAAACTCATTTTTAGCTATTTTCAATGAAAATTACAAAATTCATAATCCACTCAAAACTGATCGTATTTCAGAATCTCAAGATATACCCTATTTCACGTGCATTATGCCATAGAGTACAGTAAACATTTTAAAAATTAATGCAAAAGACTTAGTTTCATAATAAGTTATAATATGTGATGTGATTGTTCAGGATGTTAAACTTAATGTACACTGTATAGTGGTGTTACAGCTTTCTGGCAGTTAGTCGCGCGTTTTTTTTTAATGCCTGCACTCAATCGTTCGATTTTCTTAGGTACTTTTCTTTACTAGAAATGAAACACTCTTATTTTGAGCTTTTAAAAATTCTCCAATCCGTAGCTATAGATTAAACGTGTATGAGTTTGAAAATAAACTTTTCACGGGATAATTGTTCTTATGAGCTAATACAAGTGACAGTGATGAAAGTTTTACTGATATATTAAATCAACATGCGATACTTCGTATAAGTCGAACAGGTAATCAAATCCAGTCATAGCATTGCATTATGACCATATGTATTCAATAAAATCAATGTAATTGTGGCTAGTCACTTAGACAAACAGTATAATGACGTAGTTAATTTAAATGATAGTGTTCTGATAATGACCATCACTTTTTTCATTGTTGAAGATAGGATTAGATTTATCTCCAGGCCATATTAAGATTATTTTGCATTGTCTCGATTATATAAGATATCTTGCTACGATACAGTTATCTTATTAATGACTGTGTTATCTCGTTGGAAATAGTCAATTATTAGAATATTAAAATTGTCCAACGCCTACCGTTTGAACAAAAAGCAATATCCCTGTTATACAACATTCGCGTTATGAATTATTGTTTAGTTCAATTTTAAACTGAACAAAATTAAATAAAATCCTTCTTTAATAGAGAAGGATAAAAATTTAAAAGCAGAAAAGGAAATAGGGTCGAAAAAGTCCAAAAAACAAATTTTTTTGCCATAACCAGAAGATTTGAGATCCCTGTTTATATCTCTAACATAAGTCATTCTTTTTATTACACACATTCATAGCTTATGTTCGGTATTCACAACTTTTGCTCAATACCACTGAAATCTACTTTTGTTTGCTGACTTTATAATACGACTTAAACAGTTCCAACGCCTTTAACTACTTTCGAAGGGGTCCAAAGCAACTCATGTTCTAATGGATTTTATAAAATGTTTAACATGTAGATTTGTTTATCATTTTGATATCGCGTTGTCGTACTGAATATATTCAAAAAAGTACTTAAAAGTAAGATCATTGAAGTAGAACAGTTATTTGTCTAGATAGAATTAAGGGGAGAAATGAACACGAACATTATTCTTGTCTGAAATGCTCTTATTAAAAATGATTTATCAGATTGTGAAAAGTTATGACATTTGAAACTGAACTATCTAACATCATACTTCTTACGGAAAAGCTTTTTCTACATGCTGTAGTGAAAATTTTTTGCCTGATTCATTGGGTGGAAAAAGAGAGAATTTCCTATGACCATATGTGATGTTTTAATTAATCAGGTGGAACGTTTACTTACACCAGCTATAAAACAGTTAAATTGTTTTTCAAATGATGTAGATTGGTGGCGATAGTACTTTTGAACATTTTATTCCTAGAAAAGGTTCATAAAGTAAAACAGAAAAATGTTTTTGCGTTCCAGTCTAGATTTTTTCAAAAGATTTTTGAAAAAAAGCACAAGAAAATCTGTACATTTTGCTGCTTGGAAGTTGTGTCACATTTCCGGATATATACTATATTTTTGAAGATGTTTACTTATTTATAACTACGCCATATTCTCTTGTCTCAATCATATTTGAACCTACTAAAATATGTGCGCAGTATTTACCATACTTTCACTCGAAACTAAACATATTTTACTTGGAATTTCATGCAAACACTGCATTTCAAATCTTTGAAATATTGTTGAACATTGTTCACAAACTGAACCTTTTGAGAACAATCTTTCAAACCTAACACAAACCACTAAATGATATTTCTTTCTCACTAAAAATATAAAAGTACATTTATTTAATAGTTCTACTATTAATAAAATTTATTTTTAACAAACTTTCGAATAGAGTGCAATCAAGACTAACCGATATTATTTATTTGTGGCATATTTTTGTCTTTAGTAATGAGAAAAAACAAGTGCAATTGGATAATGGATTGAGACACATGGATCAGATGCTGAAAAGACGAAAAAATGTAAAAAGTTCTACTACTATCGCTAAAATCATTGTAGCGTTATGTCTGCGCTATTTTAAAAGAAAAAAAAATAGTTATTAATTAAAAATTTATTATAGTGTATTAATACACAATATAAAATAAAAATTTGATGGGTAAACTTCAGTTTCAAAAACTACAAGATGTATGTAAACAACGTGTATATTCTATGGTTTAATCTAATAAAAAGATATTACCGTTATAAAATATTTGCTCGCCGAGTAAAGTGAAGTACTATTCTCTTTACTGCTGATCGCTAGGAAGTGATATATGGAAAGAATAGAGAAAATATCTTCTAGATACTGAAATTTAATTTTATAAAACTAAAATACTGAAATTTTGAAAAAAGCAAAGAAATTTAATTATCTTTATTTCAAGACATTTAGTTATGAGTATCGAACTGATAAATGAATTTTTGATGGGACTATATGATGGTGTTTTTGTTTTTCATCCTGTAACTGTAGCATGATTAAAATTTTTGTCTTTTTATTTTCATGTGGAGAACATAGCAAAAAAAAAAACACATTCTATTTTTTCAGCATGATTTCCGTCAAAATCTTTGCAAACTACATTTTTGTGACAAAGAGAGAGAGAGAAAAAAAAAGAAGAATTGGTTGCAGAATTGTAACAGCAGCAAAATGATGGTGACGAGAAAATATCTCTAACTATCAGTTGTCATCGACATGTATAAAGTGGAGAAGAGGAAAAAGATTTTACCCCCACCACTAGAGACACGACAAACAAAAAACTTCTTTACAACGATGAAATAGAACAAGCTATTTGTTCGTATATACAGAAACTATCTAGAGAAAATCATTGAAGAGACAGCAAACGTGCAATAGTTTATTTTTACATTCATAACGATTTTTATTTTTTTCAATAATGGAAGAGAAAACCTGGCTTCTTTAAGAAGCCTCATTATTGTCTACATTGTAGAAGAAGAGAAAAAAAGAAAAGGCCGAGTCTATTTTCCAAAAAAGAAAGATATTTTATCACGTCGTGCACGATGACATAATGTCACGCTGTGCGCGAAAAATGTCTATTTTCCTTCATTCTTTTCTCAAATTTTTTAATACAAAAATAAAAAAAAAGTTTGCGATTTTTTTCCATAAGCATACATTAAATATAATTTCGAACCTAACAATCTTTTTCTCCTCTCTCTCTTTCTTTCTCTTTCTCGCTTTGTATCTCTCTGTCTCTCTGCCTCTCTCTCTCTCTCTCTTTCTCTCTCTCTCGTGTGTTAAGTATTAGTGTGTACATATTATAGCAAGAAAAAAAAAGGAAAATTTTTTTTATAATACATTGTCTTATATGAACAGACACGCACGCATAGACATACATACTCCACAGCCAAGGTCGGAACAAATATTTCATTCTTTTATACTTGTTTGTTTGAAATCACCATATTGCTGTGTGAGCATTCCGAATATTGTTAATAAATGTGTTTACTTCGCGTGAGTTCATTTTTGAGGTAATTGAATCTCTGAAAATAGGTAGTAGATAATAAAAGATATTTAGCTTGGGATACACGTTTTAGAGTAGAATAGAAAGTGACATTTTAATCAGCGTCATAGCAGTAATAGGTCTAGAATGATACACTATACACCCCATATCAATCAGATATCCCTCCAAATTTCGAAAATGTTGACTATGATAATAATAGATGATCAGCAGCATACTCTACTTATCATTTCGAGTTATACCACGTCTTGAATGACAAAAATGTTTAGCATATAAAATTTGAGATATTGCTTATTCGATACTTAACAATGATTTTTAGTTCAACTATATAACTTTTAATAATCTTACAAAGTTATACATCTTACGAATGTAAAAGAAATCATCAAAATAGAGATAACTATAGAGTCGCTGTGAGCAACTATTTCTTCAAAAGAAACTTGATTGACTTCTCATAATTTCAGTAGTACTACTTGGTGCCATACAATAGCGTTCTTAGAGTGTTGTTTAAAAAGAATGTTACCGATTGATACCATCATTAATAATTTATTTTCTGTTCCTGCTATTTTTGAGATCTATGCCTCGACGACAAAAAATATTATTTAATATATTATTTCAATCGTTTCTATTAATATCCATTGAACGGCATAATTTCGTGACTAAAATCAATATCTGTGATATAAATGATCAGAGATTTTAAACAAGGTCCCAATAGTCGTAGGATCTGTCGTGTATACAGAACTATAGAGAAAAGCCCAAACATACACATCTTTCTACTATGTTAACAAGAATATTTTCAATCTATGGCTACTATTTTATATATAATGATTAATTTAAATTCGATCTAATTAACTAACAAATTAATATTTATCTGTTGTCGAGGCTTTTGTCGAAACAATTTTTTCGTTGTTCGACTTAAATTCCCCGACGACAAATTAGCCAGGTCGTAATTATGTTTGGTCAATTAGCATGAAAAAACAAAACGTTCGTACATTAACATTAATTGTAAGTACATTTTCGTATTTATTAGTTGGTGCAGCTATATTTGACGCTTTGGAATCAAATCACGAAGATAAATTACGTAAACAATATCAAGAAGAAGAACTTTTCATGTTAGGACAATTTAATATAACAGTCGAAGAATATTTAGAATTAGAAGATGTTGTTATTAAATATCAGCCCCATAAAGCTGGTGCCCAGTGGAAATTTGCTGGTGCTTTTTATTTTTCATTAACTGTTATTACAACAATTGGTATGTAAAGGAAATTTATGTATACGCACGACTTAAATTTTGTCTTTGCTTAAGTTAAAATCGCTTACAGTTTAAGATAAATCTTATTTAAATATATTTAATAGTTTGATGATAATAGCAGGAAGAAGGAGAAGAAGTGATAACTATCAACACAATAAAGTGACATATGTGTTAAACGATAATCGTTGTAGCATTTACGTCAAAATAACTAGTATGGAAGGTTATTAAGGGTTACTGACACATTGAATTAGCTGTCTTTGTTCTTGCTATTTTTAAGATCGTATATATAGGTTGTTGTCGAGATGAATAAGGCTGGTTTCTTTCAACGTTTTTCTTTAATTTAATGGATTTTACTGTAAAACTGTTAAAAATAGAACTAGAAAAATCCTGAACCAAAGACTTTCACAATAGATCTTTATCTCTTTTATACTTCTTCTCTTTATTTTAGTTAGTGCTGTAAAATCTAATAAACGCTAATTTGACGTAATTTGACTAGAAGTTTTAAAAGTTATAGTATGGAACTGTCCAAACTATAAACAAGACGGCTTATGTTATACATAGACTCTCACTCTCTCTTTTTCTACGATGATATAGAAGATGAGCAAATATGCCTTCTAAAAAAAAAAAAAAAAAAAAAAATTAATTTAATTTTTATAAATTAAAAAGAACTTTGCTATTAGAGTATTTCTCTTCTTCATTCACAGTTGTTTTCGCTTCAGTTTTCAATTAATTTCTGCATTGCTTTTTTTAATATCATATACATAAGAAAGAGCAATACTTTTTAGATTATTGTCTCGTTCTTGCTACATGTGCTGAATCTATTTTCCTATAATTTTGTGATTGTGTCTGAACGTGCACACATTAATATTTGTTAATCTAATCTAGTAATCTATAGAAAAAAAATTGATTCTTTTTTTTGGTTGTCCTCGATCGAACACAGAAAACAATATATAGTCGTTTGCGTAATACAGCAGTAAAATTAAGCAGCTTAAAAGCTCTCGATTTTCGTTGTCATTATAGAAATGATTTGAAAGATTGTAGTATATTTTCCGGGTATTTGATCGTCTATATATATGTGTGCTAAACGAATGATAGTGAAAATTGATTTATATATACTAAAAAATATGACAAATGAAAAAGTATTTTTTTATTGTACCAGTAGATTCGTAGGGGTCATTAATCTTTTTAAAATGAAATTACGATATATTCCATATTGTGTAAAGCTTCAATGCCTTTTTTCTTAATATATATTCATTTATTTTTGAAGTGTGATGTCGATACTGGTAATTTTTTTCGTCTACCAATATGTTTTTCTCCTTCTCCCATTATGTATACGAAAAAATCATTTGCTATTAAGTCAATCATTGTTACAACAACAACACATATAAAAAAACACATCGTCAAACTAGGAACAACAGTTTTAGAGTGTGTTGTCTATTTTTTTCTCCTTTTTTTTTTCTTGCTGACGTCAATAAGTATAAATCAAGGTATAATACTAAACAATAGAATAGAATATAGATATTTTTTTTTTGTATATTATTGTAACATTGTATAATAAGCCTAGAATTGTCAGCGCTTTAGTATTGTTCAATCAAGAAAACAAAATAAACTCAATATAGTCAACTAGAGAAAAAAAAGAACGAAGTAAAAAAACGATTGTGTTTTTTTCTATTATTGATAACGAAAATGGATGAGTGCTGTTCATGCAAGAAAATCATCTTGTAAAATATATATATATCTACATTATTTTTTTTAAAAATGGAGATTTTTATTCACACAAAAGAAATAATGATGACAAAAACATGAAATGAAACAAGAAATGATACAATGTTAGATATAGGTGATGTTATTCCAAATGAATAACATACTAATAAATAAAAAAATGTTATGTTATTTTATCATAAATCTTATGATTACACTACAATAAGGGTGAGAAAGTACAATGGAACAAATCGAACTGAATAAAAGAAATTGAATCACTCTTAATTCTGGTTGTGCAAATAAAATCTTATAATAGAGAAATTTTGAATTACCGTTTGAAACAAATTGATTTAAATACTGAGCAGTAAAAAATAACATAAATCAAATAATGACATATGTAAAGAATTTTTTCCTTCTGTGCCCTTCAAAATCCATCATTAATCACAAACATACAATTGTTTAACATAAAACTAAGTGATATAAATGATATCATAAATAATGCATAGTTATACACTGGCTGACCCGGAATGACTATTAAAAAACAAGAAACTTTTCTAAAAAGCAGATGCATAAAGATTTCTCATATATTATCGTAGTTAAGAAATTCTAAACATAGCAAACACTTCATTTTGCTTGAATTTTTCTTTTCTTAGGCTATGGACATTCGTGCCCTACAACGAGTATGTACCAAAACCCAAATTTATATTCTATCTGATTTCTAAAATCTTTCATTTAAATTTAGTTTCTGGCAAATCATTTTGTATGTTATATGCTATTATTGGCATACCTCTTTGTCTCGTTATGTTCCAGTCTGTTGGTGAACGTTTAAATAATTTTGCTGGATGGGGAATAAAAACTATAAAAAAATGTTTTAAACTTCGTGATTATGAAGCAACACAAACAGAACTAGTAGTGGTAGGGACTTGTTTGGCTGTGGGTGTTGTCACGGGTGGTAAGTCATTTGTTTAAATGTTTTATAATAAAACTGTAAAAATCTAGCACGCTTGTTCTTATGTTTGATTTGATTAGAAATCCGTCATGAAACTCAATTTGATTTTTTTATTCTTTCTTTCTTTCTTTCTTTTCTCAGTTAAATCTAAATTATGATGTTCTTAATTTTGATAAATGATGTTCTTTATGTAAACAGAACTGGACGAACCATGTTTTAAAACTTTGTTTTTTAAAAATTTAATGAAAACTTTCT